ATACTCATACTTACTCATACTCAGACCTACTCATACTCAGACTTACTCACACTCAGACATACTCATACACAGACTTACTCATACACAGACTTACTCACACCCAGACGTACTCATACACAGACTTTCTCATACACAGACCTACTCATACCCAGACTTACTCATACACAGACTTACTCATACACAAACTTACTCATACCCAGGCATACTCATACTCAGACCTACTCATACTCAGACTTATTCAACACACATCAGATTTGGAGGATGTCTCAAGCGGGGCGCTGGTTTCAGCACCCCTAAGGGGAGCCGCCAGGGGTGGTTGCACGGGCTCGTTCGCGGCCATGTTGTGGGGATGTCTCAGGCGGTTTGCTTGTTTCTGGGCTCAACATCCTTCGCTTGGATAGCAGATTGTGCGGATGTCTCAGGCGGGGCGCTGGTTTCAGCACCCCTAAGGGGAGCCGCCAGGTGTGGTTGCACGGGCTCGTTCGCGGCCATTTTGTGGGGATGTCTCAGGCGGTTTGCTTGTTTCTGGGCTCAATATCCTTCGCTTGGAGAGCAGATTGTGAGGATGTCTCAGGCGGAGCGCTGGTTTCAGCACCCCTAAGGGGAGCCGCCAGGGGTGGTTGCACGGGCTCGTTCGCGGTCAGTTTGTGGGGATGTCTCAGGCGGTTTGATCGTTTCCATGCCCAACATCGCCGGCGGGGCTGCGCCTCCAAAAGTGGTGAAACGCGCCCTGGGGAACCAGGGTTGAGGAGGAAGAGGGGGAGGAAGAGGAGAAGGAGGAGGAGGAGGAGGAGGAGGAGGACTGGGGGAGGAAGCAAGGGGATCAGGACGATGAGGTGAAGGATGACGACAAGGATGAGGAGGATGATGTCTAAGAGATTGAGGACGAGGAGGAGGATGGCGTGAGCGAGGGAAATGACAGGAACGAGGATGAGGAGGAGGAACAGGAGGAGGAGGAGGAGGCGGGGGATCGTGAGGAGGGGCATGGGGGTGCGGAGGGGGAGGGGGAGCAGGAGGATGAGGAGGAGGAGCAGGAGCAAGAGAAGGGAGGGGGCGGAGGAACAGGAGGAGGAGGAGGCGCAGGCACTCTGACTCATACGCAATCACTCGCATTAGGGGTCACTCGTCTTCGTCGGCCCTGTCGCCCACGTGGACGCGCTATTGTAGTCGACCGCTCATGAACAGACGCTCACCACGGCATGACATAAAACATGAGATGCACATATGGGGAGCTCCACGCAGTGAGTAATTATATGTGCGCGCGCTGCTTCCCCCCCTCTCTCTCTCTCTCTTTCTTTCTCTCGCTTCCGGGCCGCAGCCGCTAGGGCTCGAGCAGGCTGCGCGTTTTGCGAAGAAGGCTGGGGGCCCCGGAACCCGCAGCGCCCTCGGCGCCCGACGCGAAGCGGCGCCGCGGGCTCGTTCGGGCGGCCCTCGCGGCGGGGTCGGCCCCGGGAGCGGCCGAGTGCACCGAGGGGCCCCCTCTCCAGCGGCCGAGCGCGGTCGCCGGAACTGCCGCGGGCGCCGTCGTCGGGCCGGCCTGGAGAAACCCCGAGGACAATCCCCCTTGGCCCTCATTTCGCGGGGGGGGGGGGGGGCGCGAAGGGGGGCGCGGGTTTGGGCCCCCCGCTTCGGCCCCTCGATCCGCAGCCTGGCCCGGGCGGCAGCGGACGCTAGAGGCCGCTGGCCCCTCCGCCCACGCGGCGGACGGACCAGACTCAGCGGGAGTTGAGGGGGGCGGGGCCGACCCCGAGGATGAGGAGGAAAAGGAGGCAACCCAGCCGGGCGAGGAGATCGCCCTGGAGCACGGCCGGCAGGAGCAAGCCCAACGCTGAATGGAGGAGTTGAACGCGGAATGGCGCCCAGTGGAAGGGCCCTCAGACTGAGGGCGGAGGTGGGGAGCTCCCGGCGGCCCCGGCAAACGACGCCGACCGTCGGCGGAAGGTATAGATCTCCGGGGCCTCCAGCAATTCGGGCGGCTCCTCTCCCGGGCCCTAGGGGCGCATGTACGCGAGCCCCTGGGGGCAGCGCTGCAGTGCCTCCAGGCCGCGGCCACTGGCGCCTTACTAGACCGACTGGCGCGCGCGGGAGCTCGGGCTGCCGGCGAAGGGCGGGGGGCCGGCGCCCGCGAGGGGCAGCCGCGGAGAGGCTGACCCTGCCTGCGCGAGCTCGACTGGCGGGCACCGGATGCCGCTCCCACGTCCAACTCCTTCTTCACGGAGGTAAGCAATCCGGGGACGGGGTCGGATCCACGACCGCTGGCCCAACCACCTCCTGGCCGTCATCGACGGGGGGCGCGTCCGCGTGGAGAAGGAAGACGCGCGCACTTCGCTGAGCTGGCGCTGGACCCTGGCGACGGGGGCCCAGGCTGTGCTGTCGGGGATGCTGGCGTCAGTTCTCTCGGCTGTGCGGGCTGGGACGTTGGCGTCGGTATTCCTGGCTGCGCTGGCGTAGATCCTGGCGTCGGAGCTTCCAGCTGAGCTGGCGACGATACTGACGTCGGTGCTCCGAGATGGGCGAGGACGCTGGCGTCGGTGATCCTGGCTGCGCAGACGAGGATTTCGAAGTCGGTGTTGGTTGTGTTTGCGAGGATGCTGTCGTCGGTGCTGCGGGCTGCGCTGGCGAAGATGCCTTCGTTGGTGCCCCCCGCTGTGCTGGCGGGGGTGATCCCCTTCCGGCTGCGCGGGCGCTGGTGCTTCCGATTGTGATGCTGGGGATGCTGGCGCCCGTGCTCCTGGCTGCGCTGGCGAGGGCGCTGACGTCAAAGCTTCGCGCTGTGATGGCGGGAAGGCTGGCGTCGGCGTTTCCAGCTGTGCTCTCGAAGATGCTGGCGTCGGTGCCCCGGGCGCGGTGGCGTCGACGATCCTGGTTGTGCCGGCGGGATCCCGGCGTCGGTGCCCCCGGCTATGCTGGCGAGGATGCCGAGTTCAGCGTTCCTGCGTGCGCGGGCGAGGATGCTGGCGTCCTGGCTATGATGCTGGCTTGGATGCTGGGGTCGGTGGTCCAGGCTGCGCTGCTGAGTATGCTCGCGTCTATCCCATTTGGGCTGGCGAGGGCGCTGGCGCTGGCGCCCCCCGCTGCGCTAGCGAGGATGCCGGCGTCGGCGGTGCCCGTTGCGCGGGCGAGGATGCAGGCGCCAGCGATCCAGGTAGCGCTGACAAGGCTGCTGGCGTCGGTGCTCTCGGCTGCGCTGGCGGGAATGCTGGCGTCGGTGCTCTGGGCTGCGCCGGCGAAGATCCTGGCGTCGGTGCTCTCGGCTGTGCTGACGAGGATGCTGGCGTAAGCTGCCTTTGGTGATCCGAGCTGTGCTGGCGAGGATGTTGGCGTCGGCACTCCACGTTGTGCCGGCGAAAGTGCTGGCGCACGCATTTCCATGAGCAGCGGCATGGCCTGTTGCCGTTGTTTTCCATTCTCGCGCGCGCTAGCCTCAGTGCTGTAGCTGATCGCATTGCGTCCCAAGCTGGGTGGCGCGCGCGACCGGGCCGCAGCGCGGGCCGCAGCGGCCGCCGACTGGGAGAGGGTGGAAGCCCGGCAGCGGCCGCCGGCGTCTGCGGCGGCCGAGGCGGAGCCAGCAGCGCCCGCGGCGCCCGCGGCGCGGCGGCGCCCGCGGCGCCAGCAACGCCAGCCGCGCTGACGGTGCACGCGCTGCCCGCAGCCCCGGCGGCGCCCGCGGCGGCCGCGGTGGCGCCGCGCGCCCGCACCGCCCGCGGCGCACGCGGCGCCTGCGGCGCCCGCGGCGCCGTCAGCGCCAGCGGCGCGCGGCGCCGCGGCGCAGGCGGCGCACGCGGCACCGGCGGTGCCATCGGCACCCGCGGCACCCGCAGGGACCGAGGCGCAAGCGGTGTCCAAGGCACTTAACGCGCCCGCGACGCCCGCAGCGCCGGCAGCCCGCAGCGCCGGCAGGGCCAACAGAGGCATGAGGCAGCCGCCGGTTGCCGCCGCCAGCGCACCGCCGCGGTTTCCATGATGCAACGGCCGGAGCGCGCACCTGTGGCCGGGGCGGGTTCGAGCCGAGACGGCTTGAGCTAGGATTGGGCCTTTTCTACTCGAAGGAAACAACGGCATCAACATAAGATTCTTGAGTTCCGCACGGATTTCTTGGATCGGCGCTGGTGCCTCCGACGCCTCCCGCGGCGCGCTCCGCGCGACAGGGAGAGGGAACCAAGCGCAGATCCAAAAAGTCCGCCGCGCGGAGTTCCGAAAGTTTACGTTTATGCAGTGATTTCTCCTCCGATGTACATGTGTTCCCTGCCTCATCCTTCCTCCTTTCCTCCCTCCCTCCCTTCTTGTTGCGGTTTTCCCGGGTGTTCATCTTTACTTCGCGTCCTAGGTTTGCGCCCCCAGTCCCAGAGGGGCGGGGCTCAACTTGACTTGGGTTCCCGGAGGGCTCCGAGACCGTCAGAGTCTTCCAGAGAACTTCGGAGACTTCCTGAAGTTGTCAGCGGTCGGTGGGAATGGGAGCTGGAACCCCGCTGCTCCTTTTTCTCAACCATCCTGTGGTGTTGGGTCCTCGTCTTGAAGAGACAGTGCTCCGCGTCTCCTTTCCTCCTTCCTCTCCCCCCTCCTCCCCCGCACCGCACCCATTTCGAATGGCCCCTCACACGTTTCGTGGCCCCATAGGGAGCCCCACCGAAGGCCACAGTGGGAAAGTTCGCATGACGGCCTCGGGCCAGTTAGCCCCAGTGGGAAAGTACGCACGGCGGCCTCGGGCCAGTTCGGCGCACCCCTGACGAGGATCGTGGCCCCATAGGGAGCCCCATCGGACATGAGAGTCACGACTGTGGTACTCACAGCTGCATATGGTCGGGTTCTTCGCCAGGCTAATTTACTTCTTGTAGTTGCAACCTTCTCCAGGCTGCTCCCGTACTCCTGATTCCGCTCGTTGCCTCCCTTTTTGCGTCTCCCATTTCTCGTCTGCACTTGTTCTTCTCTCTTTTCTCTGTTCCCTTGTGGTTTCTTCTGGGTGCTATTGGCTTCTCTTCGTGCTGCAAACAGCCGCCCAGGTGAAGGTGGTGGAAATGCTGCAGCCAGATGAGGGCAAACAGTACGGCCAGAATCCGCGATCCCCGAAGCCAAAGCAGGTGTTCAGCGTGGGCTCGTCCACGTCGTCGTCGTCGTCCTCGTACACTTCGTTGCTGCCGTCGTCGACATCGAAAATCGGGGATCGAGGTTTGGGGACATGTCGGCAATTGCCTTCAGAGGTCTCCATGGATCGTCGTCGTCTTTGTCGTCGTGGTCGGCGACGTCGTCGTTAGGTGCTCCGCGTGGGCTTCTCCACGTCGGCGTCGTCTCTTATCCTCGGTGATGGGGCTGGCGGCGTCGGCTTCGATGCGGACGGCTCCCTCATGAGCGACGGCAAGACATGGTGGCGCGCACGTGGGGCCAGGGTGAGGGGGCGGCCTTTGTTTGCGCAGGCGCCCCACCTGTTCGAAGGCCTCATGCGCTCTTAGTGCAGTCAAGGCGCTGGCATAAGGACCGGGCCGTTCCTTAGGTCTAGGTCGGGCAACCTGTTCGTGGACGAGTCTCGCCGTGGCCAGGAAAGCCCCTTCGTTCCTTATTTCGCTTTCCTGCTGGCAGTGTCATGACTGTAGAGGCGTCCCTGGAAGCCCTCCAGAATATGCCGATCCTTTCCAGGCGGGGCCTCTGCCCTGCAAGAAGACCACCGCGCTCACCCTTCCCCCCTCTGCACGCCGCCAGAAGAAGACGCTGAAACCCGGGAGCAAGTTCGGGCGCGAGCAGGTCATCCACCTTTCCAGGGCTCGCTTCGATTCCTCTAATTCGATTCGATTCGATTTCGATGGCTTCGGATTCCGATTCGTTTCGACTTGCAAATGGAGGGCTTACCAGCCTCCCGATTTCCGCCGATTCGACTTCTGCCAACTCGGCTGCCGATTTCCGCGGATCCGATTTGTTCCGATCGCCGATCCGACTTATCGATCTGATTCTGGGCTCTCTTGCCTTGGGTGTCTGTCATTGTCCCGCGGCCCAGGAACGGTCCCCAGGAGCCGAAATTGACGAAAAGCATTCGGAAGGAGTCAGGACAGCAGAACCCCAGGATCCATCCGCGCCCGCTGGAAAAATGTCCCCTGACCCCTCCTGGGCGCTATGCGGCCAGCTTTCCGAGCTGCGTCAAGCCGTGGCCACGACGAGGCCCCAGGAAGTCTAGACGGGACAGAAAGACTGAAGCTGGGCGCGAGCAGGTTTGCTGGCCACTGGCCCACGCCACACTGAAGCCTGGCGCGAGCTTCAAAATAAGATCGTGCGCGAGCAGGTCGTCGGCGTGCTCCTTAACCTGGATCCTAAGAGCTCCAACGCCAACACTATCAGCCTCTTCAGGAACGGCGCCCGCGCCAGCGTACCTTCTCTGTTGCCCGATTGCCCGCATGTCGGTCCCAGGGCGTGCTGATATCACACCATCGGTTGCCTGCGACATTGTCTGCCTCCCTGAGGCCGCGGAGCCCTCCAGTCATCCGGCAGTCCCGAGGGGAAACAAACAAAAGCAATCATACAACAGATTTCCGACTCGACCAAAGGAATGGCGCCCGCGCTGGCAGCCCGACGCCGCTGCCGGAGGGCTGCAGGGGCGCGCCACTCTTCCCCCACGTCTCGTTCCGCAACATGACCGTGCAGGTGAACTTCGGGCCTGCGCAGATGAAGGCTCCGCAAGCTAGTATTCGCCATGAAGGAAAGGAGTCCTGGAGGAAACGGGACATGCAGCTTTTTTTATCGATCTCGGGCTCCTGGGTCCATCCCGAGGCCGTGAGACCGTCAAATGCAGACGAGGAGTATCCAGCGGCCTGCGACCCATCCCGCCACCGTACCTTCAGGGACCGCTGGGTGGGTGGTATGGGGTGTCGCTGGTCTCTGGGGGGTCCAGGGGCGCCTTCTGTGGGGCTTCAGGGTGTCTTCCGAGGAGTCCTTTTATGCGGCACGCCTGTGCAGGTGATTTTCGGGCCTGCGCAAATGAAGGTCGGCGGCGACGACGACGGCGACGAGCAGTTGTCTGCCCTTTTCCAGCGACTTCCGCACTGGGGGCGACTGCGACAGCGACGATGTGTTCTGTGACGGCGCTATCGTTTTGGAGTTCTCGTTCCCAGAAAGGGCGGGGGCCAGGGTTCTTTTTCACAACCATTTTGTGGTGTTGGGTCATCGTTTTGAAGAGACAGCAATCCGCGTCTCACTCACTCACTCCTCCTCCTCCCCCTCCTCCCTCCTCCCCCGCACCGCACCCATTTCGGCACACCCCTCACACGTTTCGTGGCCCCATAGGGAGCTCCACCTAAGGCCCCAGAGGGAAAGGTTGGTTGCATGGCGGCCTCGCCTCATGTCGGCACACCCCTCACACGCTTCGTGGCCCCATAAGGAGCTCCACCTAAGGCCGCAGAGGGAAAGGTTGCATGGCGGCCTCGCCCCATTTCGGCACACCCCTCACACTGGTCGTGGCCCCATTGGGAGCTCCACCGAAGGCCCCAGAGGGAAAGGTTGCCTGGCGGCCTCGGGCCATGTCGGCACACCCCTCACACGTTTCGTGGCCCCATAGGGAGCTCCACCGAAGGCCCCAGAGTGAAAGGTTACATGGCGGCCTCGGGCCATTTCGGCAAACCCCTCACACGTTCCGTGGCCCCGTAGGGAGCTCCACCTAAGGCCCCAGAGGGGAAGGTTGCATGGCGGCCTCGGGCCATTTCGGCACACCACTCACAAGGATCGTGGCCCCATATGGAGCTCCACCTGAAGGCCCCAGTGGGAAAGTTCGCATTGCTGCCTCGGGCCAGTTCGGCGCAGCCCTCAGACGTTTGGTGGCTCCATAGAGAGCTCCACCGAAGGCACCAGTGGGAAAGTTCGTCCACTTGGTGCCCCGTCGGTGTTCCGTCCGCGGTGGGCGGGCGGTGGCCGGGGTTGCCCCGCCTTGGTAACGATAGTGAAGTCGAGAGTGGGATCGATGATGAGAACTCGAAAATGAGGTGGACAGTACTATCAACAGTGAGTTCGACAGTGAGGGTGTTGTGAGATCGGTAGTGAGACCGATGCTGGAATTAATGGAGAGATCGACAGTGAGGTCGAACGCGAGATCTACAACGGATATATGGAGGGAGCGATCGTGAGATGTATAGCGAGATCGATCGAATGTTATCGACCCTGTGAAGTCGATCGTGGGATCGATCGAGTGAGATCGAATTCTGGGACGATAGTGACATTATATCGCAGCGCAACGTCGTCACCACGCGTCGTCGCTAACTCGAGGGCGCGTCACGAGCATCATCATCATTACACCCATCGCATTTGCCAGCAGTTGGTTCTTCCCCCCTCCCGCTCCCGAACCTCCGTATCACCCGAAGGGTGGTCGTATAGCTAAGGTATCCAAGTCTATTGCTCTGGATGGCCTCCAGCATGCTTCCGAACAGGCTCCAAGGCGGTTCCAAATGGCCACGGAGCTTCCAAAAGAGGACCCTAAGACGCCAACATCTTTCCATAACAAATGTTGCATGGCCGTTCGGGGGTCCCTTCCCCTTAGAACGTCTCTCAAAGACCGCCCACCCCCCACCATCAAACAAAAAATGAAACAACGGTAAGGATGGTGTCAGGGAGTGGTTTCTTATTCAGTATCAGTGGCTCAGGCCACGGCGGTTCACCGCCGTCCCACCCCCGAGCCTTCTGGCTGCGGAGGGGCAGGCCGGCAGCAGCACGTGCTACGCGAACTGCTGTTCACACGATTGGCGCCCTTTCCTTCTGATTGGTTTCCGAGGCCTCAAGATGGCTCCATCATGGCCCAAGGCAGCCCCAAGATTGGCACACGAGGGCTCCAAGACGGCCACCCCAAGAAAACCAGACTATAGCCCCAAGGGTCCCCCAAGCGGCTCTCACAACAAACGGTCCGCGAAGGTCTTCTCCTCCTCCTCCTCCTCCTCCTCCTCCTCCTCTCCCCTTCCTCCGCCTTTTCCTCCTCCTCCTCCTCCTCCTCCTCCTCCTCCTCCTCCTCCTCCTCCCTGGTCCTTTACCCACTCCTGGTCCTACTCGATATCCTTCTAATCCTCCTGCGCTCCTTCAACCTCTTCATCCAAACAACCATCCTTGGCATCGCTTCTGAATGTGCTGGGGGCGACATGCTAAGCAGCATGAATTTACCAGGGATCCTGGCCCTGGGGGCGTGGACGCAGCGCAATTTAAACGGGATCCGTCATGTTCAATGGATCGTGGCGCTGGTAGCGCGGACGCAGCGTAATTTACGGGGAATCGTGGGCAAGGGAGCGTTGACGCGGCGTACTCGAGCGATCGTGACCCTGGGAGCGCGGACGCAGTGTAATTTACAAGTGTCGCTCTGGGAGCGCGGACGCAGCGTAAGTCACAAGCGATCGTGGCCTTGGGACCGCGGGCGTAGAGTAATCTACAGGGGATCGTGGCCCTGGGAGTGCGGACGCAATGTAGTTCACGTGAGATCGTGGCCCTGGAAGCGCTTGCGCAGTGTCGTTCACGAGCGGTCGTGACGCTGCAGGTGCGGACGCAACGTATTTTACCAAGGATACAGGATGATAAAGGCTGTGGGAGCGCGGGCGCAGCGTACATGAGTTTTCGAGGTCGATTGGCCAAGGGAGCGCTGGCGCATCGTAATTTAAAAGCGATCGTGGCCCTTGGAGCGCGGCCGCAGCGTGGGATCGTGGCCGTGGGAGCGGGGATCCATCGGAGAAGACTTACAGAACAGGGTGGGTCGTAATTTGGCTCGTCCTCTTGCAAGTTCCGGGTGCGTCCACAACCACGTCCCTTAGCACGTCCGTTGGCGCGTCCCGTGGCACGTTCCCCAATTTGTCCTCTGACGCGGTCCTTGGCTCGTCCTCTGACGTTACCCTTGCCTGTTCCGTGGCGCGTCTCCTGGCACATCCCTTGCCACATAGCCCAGCGCGTCCTTGGGGACGTCCCCTGGCGTGACGTCCCTTGGCACGCCCCCCTGGCACGCCCCTTTGCACGTCCCGTGGCAAGTCCCTGACACGTCCGTGAAACGTCCCCTCATACGTCCCGTGGCACGTCCACTGGCGCATCCCATTGTGCGCCCCTAGCATATCCTGAGGCGCGTCCATGCGCTCTGCGCCCCGTGTCAGTTCGTTCAGTTTCGGAGTTAGATCGGATGTTGAGTTCGAGCTGGTTGAGCGCCACGCGCGTTTTGAATACACATTCTCGGATTCACGAAGGCGAAGCAAAGTTAGACTCCCCGCTGGCCCTCCTCGTGTCCATCGCGCGCGCACGCCGCCTACCTGCCGCTGTTTTGGGCTCAAGGCTCACCTGGCTCCGCCGGCCACGGTGGCAGCGGTGGCCCGCTTGGCCACCCGCGCGCTGCCTGTCCGGGCCCCCCGCGGGGGTGCAGTCTCTGGCAGCTGTCCTTGCCCCACATGGTGCGGCTGCACTGCGGGACACGTACTGGGAGTCGTCGACTCCATCACCCAAGCGACGGACCCGCGTAATTGGGACATGATGGTTGCACTCAGCAGAGACCGCGGGTTTAGCCAGAGACACCCAGACGGGGCGCCCCCGCGGCAGGTGTTGACCGCCATGGCTGATGCCCGCGCGGCCGGCGTCAACCTTCAGTCCGTCGCGGACTCGGCGGTGCAGCGACGGATCTTGTGCAAATAGTGCCGTCCACGCTGCGGACATAAGCGTCGCACTTGCGTATGGTTGCGTGTGCGAGGGAGTTATCAGGGGGAGCCCCAGCTGGGTTGCTCGGTTCAGCGCGTTCGTAGAGTCTAAGCGCGTGGGCCCTGACGCACCAGGTGGCTGGCGCCCCCTGGCAAGGTGATCAGGACGTCATCTTGCGCGGGATTCGTTTGGGCACGGCCAAGTGCCGGACCCTTAGGCTACCCCTGCACCGCATAGACCGACTTCTGCTGGGGCGGCTGCTTCGCTTCGCGCTGTCGCGCCATCGTAGGCGGTGGTGCGTCATTGCAGTGCCTGCTTTAATTTTTCTGCTGCGAGTGCCGTCCGAGCTGTTTGCGCAGTGCACGCGCGCTCGCGTGCAGGTGCAGGGCGGTCGGTTTGTGTACGGCCCGACGCGCCGGAAGCAGCGGGTCGACGTTTGCACAGTGTTCGCATTTTGAAGCCATGCTCGCAAGAGGTGGTTGGCGATCGGTGGCGTCAGCCCGGCCGTGCGTGTCGGGCGACGGGTGGCCGCCGGCTTGCTGGCGCAGGGTGTCGTCGACGATTCTGGCCCCGAGAAGTAGGCACCGCAGTGTCCCGTTCCTGCGCCGCTCCCCTTTTTCCTTCATGTGCATTGGAGACGGGAGCAGTCTCGAAACTGTGGTGCCTTGTCAATGAAAAGAAGTATGGAAGGGAGCGGGAGCGAACTCGGATTCACGAAGGTGAAGCAAAGTTAGACTCCCCGCTGGCCCTCCTCGTGTCCTTCGCGCGCGCGCACGCCGCAGAATTACCTGCCGCTCTTTTGTGCTCAAGGGTGGGACCGCTTGTCTCGCCCGCCCACTCCTTCCCTTTGCCTGTCCTTGTTTTCGGCGGCGCCGCTGCGCCCGCCGCTGGGGGCCGGAGCGGCCTCGAAGATGTGGTGCCTTGCCAGTGGAATAAGAGGAGGGAAGGGAGCGAGAGCTAGCACCTCTGGACGAGCCATGCGTTCACCTCTGGGCGAGCCATGCGCTCATGCAGCTCGAGTCCGGTCAAGATTC